TTAAATTAACAGAAAAGATTTTGTGTCTGCTATCAACACTATGTTATCTGCCAATATCTTAGTTTCTTAACATTATAACCGCTAATAATGAATCCTGATAGGACTTCTAATTCTTTCAGGATCGACTTACTGTAAATATGTCTAGTGAGAAGACACATCCTTGTCTTACTCCCCTTTTTGTGTTTGTGTATTTACTGAATTCATTTCTATCCTCATAGAGGTGGTTTGCTTCGAGTATAACTTGTGGATTATTCTAATATGCTTGTCGTTAAAACCTGAAATCGTCCATATTATATTCAGAAAAATCGATATCAAAATATATGAGAGTATATCTAGTATATTTTGCAGGTAACTACTGTTGGCACATTATGGCATAAAATGTTTTATGTCCGCTCTCCGTGTTGCTTATAAAACCAGTAGCTTTACTTGATGATTTCTTCTCTCAAAGCACAGAAAAATAAATTGTTGCACTGAGCCTTTTCTAGAATTAAGACGACATTGTCTCTGCAACTGTATTACTGTAACAATCTATCAAATGCCGTAAAACCAAACCAGTTGTTTTTCATGTTCCTTGGCAAATCACTTTGACCCTATTTGTTTAGTTCTGTAGGCTTTTACACGCAAAACCAATCAAAACTATGTCTACCCCGGATGAAATACACTTTCAGTCAAAACTGAAACGATTTTTAATCGTGTCAATCCTCTCATAATCTTCAAATCAAACATTGTATTAAATAATTCCTAACTTTTGAACTCTCTGAACAGAACGCCTTGTTGATCTACTGTTTATTGTTGCTTGTCACGTTTCATCATAAGATCCTGTCTCCAACTCCTGTTTCTGATCAGCATACGATTTTATTTTTCTAGTTACAGAAGTGTCTTGGTTATAAATCCTAGGCTTCTAATTTTAATAATACTTCGATGAAATACTGTGAAATTATATTAGAGAAATCATAACCAGCAGAGAGTCTGTAAATTCACCCTATCCATGATAGAAAACTGAACTCATCCTAATTTTCTTGAATGGTAATATTAGCCATTCATTGACCGAGCAGCCAATATTGCTTTCGGTTGAAATTTATAAAATCCTTCTCTTAAAACATTTTTTTGGTTTCTCAAGTCCAGTAGCTGTTATTGCTCTTTCCAGGATTGATAGCGGTTTCCTTCTTAACATTTAACTTCTTATGTCATCATTTTCCTTCTAACTACATGTGCTATCCATTTACGCTGTTACTGCTGTTGGTGGTCCTCAAGTGATTTCGTTTCTGTTATCTCGTATAGGACTTTCTTTGTGATTCTGTAGCGCCAGTCCACAATGTTTAAAGAAATATGACCATTACCAAGGGGGGGATAGATGAAACATTAGAAAATGGAATTGAACAGCTTCAAATCCAGTGGATGATTGTTAACAATGCTTGGAAAAGGCTGAAGCCAAACACTCCAACATTACTTATAGCAACATTTTCGTCAATAATATACCGTGATTGTAAATAGAATAGATCGTTGATGGAGATGCTGAACAAGTACTTCTCCCTACATGATATCTACGTTGAGAATTATCCATGAAAATATTCCTAGCCCCGGTCTTGCTCAGAGGCGAGAAAAGGACACACCTATGTGTATTATATATTGGGATTGAATTAAATTTATTTTTCCTTGTTCCTACAATTTCTACTTCAGTTGGCTTATGGCCACATCACGTTGAAACACCGGTTCCCGTACGATCACAAAAGTTAAGCAACGTCAAGCTTGGTCACTACCTGGATAGGTGATTGCTGTGTAATATCAATGCTGTAAACTTGGATGTGCGGGTGGTGTAATGGATAACGGCTGGGCTCGTTGTATTCACTTACGCACAAATAAGCTTGAGAAAGGCATGAATCCACTTCTCCCCTCAGCTATGGGCTAATTAGTAAGATTTGTATCACTAAATCATTATTATATCCTCCAAAAATTCTTGCAATTTTAATATATTTTATGGCTTTAAATAACCTGCAAAGGTTTGATAAGGCGTAAAAACGAATCAATCAATCAATCTGATCGGAGACATTATTGACCACCACTGCGTTGTCCATCGGTGGTTAATGGTCGTAACTAGAGACATCTGAGTAGAATTGTTTATGTTAACAGACAAGCTACCATGACTCAAATTACATCCACATTCAGATGATGCCAAATATATAATCAGCAGACCAGTTCATCGTTTATTTTTAGTTTCCATGAAATCTAAGAAGAGAAGAACCACCAAGGTGCTGCTGTTAACGTCTCGACACTGAACACAACGCATTACCTGGGTTTATGACACTAAATGGATCCTGGAGTGGTCCGATGAGGGATATTTCCAATTGTTTCGGGTTATCGATAGGATTTGTGTTTGGTAGAGACCCCATGAAGCTTTAGGCCTAATTGTCAACAAGGCAAACTTGTGGTCTGGGGTATGTTCACGTGGCTTGTGTTGCGTCCGATGGCCCGCCTAAATATGTTATTGACCAGTGACCGCTATGCAGCACTGGTTCGTAACCATTTGCACACAATCGTGGGTTCCATGTAGCTAAACAATGATGGATTATTTCGGCAGTATAACGCAACGTGCAAATCGAGTTGGTCAAAATTGTTCTGGGGAACGTTCTAGAACATTTGCACCTAAAAATATCAAGAGGATGTGAACAGATTTCGAGAAAGCATCGCTCAACAACCTCCAGGGCTCTTACGACCATTTTGAAATCCATACTATGTTGAATTGCTGCAATTCACCTGGGAAAGTGGGGTTCTAACGATGCTCGGCATCCATCTCATGACTTTCTGCACGTCAGTGTAAATATCAGCAACTGTAAAGGTTAACTTCAATAGGTGGGAGAACGTAGGGCTAGAATGTTCTCGTTCCGACCATATTCAATTCGTCAGGGAGGTGAATATCTTCATAGTATCGACCAAGGAAGACGATCCCAGCGTTCGGTACCGTTGGGAATGGCCGGAAATCCGTACCCCACGGGTTGACCCAAGCCTTGTGGATGAAATTAGATAAACGGAACTGTTCGGTATCCAGCATTGGTTGTACAAGCTCGAAGTCATACGTCATTGTGTCCGAGTGTTTGAGCATACTAGCCTTGTGCAAAAGATTATCCCGCCAGATTATCCCGCTAGAAACTGTAACTAAGGTACTCTCAACATAGTTGCAGTATAAAACACAGGTTGACTCTGTGCGTGTTGAAGAAACACAAATATGCCCGAGCAGGTGTCTGCAATAGGAATTAGCTACCCACTGTAGTTTACCCGCAAATTCGGAAACGAGTATTCAGCTATTTTAGTCAACTTGCTGAAAGAGTCTATCAGAATTAGATAAGAATGGTGGGGTTCGTTGCTTTGGATATCTCGAAGGCATTTGACTTACTGGTTTACTTCACATGTTGAAAGGTTATGGTATTTCTGGGCAAATTTTGAAACTGATTCAGTCTTTCTTCTCAAATCGCAAATTGAATGTTGTCTTGAACGCCCACTCTTCTAGGGATTTTTTTTCATTAATTCAGGTGTTCTCCAGGATACAATTATTTACACTTTGGCAGATAGTCACAAAAATGACCTACAATATTCGGCATGGAATGGCTTGTTAATTTTAACGCCTCTAAAATGAAACTGCTCTCTTTTAATCAATCTAAGAGAAGCCTTTTTCCTTCCATCAGCATGACTGGTGCCAACCTCCAGGAGAGTGACTCATTGCAACTCCTCGAATTGACCGTCGATGACAAAGATTTCCATATTCCTCTGGAGGTGACTGGGGGATTAATCATCAAAGTATCTTCTTTGAATATTTTTATAGACTGTCGATCAGCATTTTTTGTTAAAGGTGGTTTTCTGTCTTCTGTTGAATGTATTGTTGTTGTTGTCGGCACCCGCTCGGATCCAGGCATCGAAATCCTCTCTTTCCCGATTCCCTTCCTTGGCGGTAGTGGAGATTACGATTCAGAGAGAGTTGGATGGGGTTATTCGCGTGAATTTAATTTTGCTGAACAACCCTGTGCGACAGAGAAGCTCACACACTTGGCCAAAAGCGCCACCTTTGCGGCTCAAAGGCCAAAAGCGACACCTTTGCGGCTCAAAGGCCAAAAGCGACACCTTTGCGGCTCAAAGTGGATTGAAAGAGGTGAAATCTGGCAAGTATGTATTGTAGACTTCCCCGTGGGGATGGGAGAGGGCCATAGTTTTACCACGCTATGCCTTATATTTCTGTAGCAAACTGACTTCTAATATTCAGTGATTGACTGGTTGCTTGGTTTTTTTACGGCTTATCAACACTTTATTGGCTATTTTTTTCCAAAACATTGTCTTCCTTAACTAGCAACATATGTTTTCGATAATTGTGGCTTTCTGCTTCTCTAGTCACGGTGTTCAAAAATATTAATTTAAATTAATGACATAATTTCGTTAGAAACAAAGAAAAAAGTGCTGACCTGCGATGTAATATCAATTCTCCAATGTAGTTGTGAATGTTGGACAATTTTCTCATAGATTAAGAGGAGAAATGAGGCAACAGAAAAGTAGTTCTACAAAAGGATGCTGAGAATACCATGGATGGAGCATGTGAGCAACGACGAAGTTTTAAGGAAAATGAAAACAAAAAAGGATACTTGTATTTAGAATCAGAAAGACAATAAATGTTTTGGTATATACAATGAGGAAAGAAGACTTAGAAATTTTGACACTCACAGGACTCATTGAAGGCAAGAGAACAAGAAGGGAACATCGAGTAACCAACCTAAGAAGATAAATAGAATGGAATGTGGTAACAAAAACAAATATTGGTAAGTGCTAAAAGGGATAGGAAGTCGTGGAGAGCCATGATCGCCCGCGTCAACAAAAAGAGAAGAATTGCAAAACTGTTCATAATTCTAAAAGAAAATCCTGTCAGATATTTTAACGAACTTAATTTCTACTGACAAAGCTCAATAAAAAATAAAAAATAGGATTTGTCAAATTTTAATCTTTATTTAACATTTTGTCAGCGATTCTCTCAATATATCTCACTCTTTCTCCCTTTCTCTTATTCTTTCTTCTTCTTCTTCTCTCTCTCTCTCAATTTTCCTTTTCTTTCTTTCCTCCTTCCTCTCTTTTCCCCCTCTCTCACGCTTTCATCCTCTCACTTGTTCTCCTCCTCTCTTTTTCTTCCTCTCTCTCACTCTTTCTTCCTCTTTCTATTTTCCCTCTCTCGCTTACTTCATCTCTCTCACTCTTCTTGCATCTCTCTCACTTTCTCTCCTATTTCTTTCTCCATCTCTCTCACATTCTTTCTGCTTCTCTCTCACTTTTTCTCATTCTCTCCCTTTCTTCTATCTCTCACTCTTTCACTATGTCTTTCACTTTCTCCCTCTCTCTTATTTTTTCTCCGTCTCTCTTATTTTTTCTCCGTCTCTCTCTTTCTTCCTCTCTCTCTCTCTTTTTCATCTTCTCTCTCTTTCTCCCTCTCTCTATTCGTAACAGGAAATCTTTATTGTTTGTGCAAGAAAGAAACAAGCCAGTCGTGCTGACAAATCATACAAAACATTGTACAAAATCCGAACTGACAATCAAAATAAACTGGTGAAGTCCAGGTTCTCGTTTGGATGTCAACGTGATTCTTTTAATACAAATTGAGATCAGATTCCTTGAAAGAAATAAAAGTTTAAAAAAACAAAATCCCCATCAATCTGGGTTTTTTGGGTTTTTTTTTTTTCAAAACACGAATCGAACAGAACTAGTCATCGTCATAGCGTCAGTTTATAAAGAACATGAATCTGGACGCCGACTGAAGACATAGCATTACATCAATAGCTTCTTTCTTTCTTTCTTTCTTTCTTTCTTTCTTTCTTCCTTTTTTTCGTTCTTTCTTTCGTTCTTTTTCCTCTCTATACATGAAATTCCAGTCTGGTTTCATTATAGTCACTTACGCGCAAATACTTTTGGGAAATTAGTATGAATCCACTTCTTCTCTCCCCCAGCTATGGATTAATTAGTAGTACGTGTATCGGTAAATTATTATTATCTCGAGAAAATTCTTATAATCTAAAAACATTATCTAAAAATGTTGATAAGCCGTAAAAAATCAGTCAATCTTTATATCTAGATCTCTCCCTCTCTTCATATTTAAATCGCTCTTTTTCTTCATATATAAATCTTTTCTTCAAACAAACAAACAAACACACACACACACACACACACACACATATATATATATATATATATATATATATATATATATATATATATATGTATATATATGGAAAGGAATGAACCGTCTAGGTAAAAAAAATTGCTCAATTTTTACTAAGAACCTGCAAGTATTCGATCAATAATGTACTTATATGTACCGCATCTGTGGCATTTCAGGCCTGTAATGAAAGTTGTTGTATTCACGTAAGCATAATTGTATGAGGGAAGAATACATGGCAGTATGAAAATATGGCATGCAAAGTTTAGTAAGCCGTAAAAAGACAAATTAATCAATCTTCATATATAAATCCTTTTCTCTCTTCATATATATATATATATATATATATAATATAGATAATACAAATATAAAATTTGTCACTTAGCTGAATGATATTTCAGCATCCAGACTCTAGAGTTTCGGAGACGGGTTCACCATCAATCGCTCCGTCCACTCGTCAAGGGATATCAGCAATTGAATGTTTATATATAGAACTCTTTCTTCATATATAAATCTCTCCTTCTTCACACACACACACACACACATATATATAATGTCAAGCAAAACAAATAGGCTGTCTAAATAAAAAAAATTAAATTGCTTAATTTTTACAAAAGAGGCAGCAAGTATTCGACAATGTAGCTTCATGTAATTGCATCTGAGATCATTCAGGGTTGTTATCGTTTTAGCGAGGTCGTCGTATGAGAAAAGATCGACGTGACATGGAAATACATGGGTCACATACAAATCATGGGTCATTTGAGACCCCTCAAGATTATCATCATCCTAGATACACACCCCTAATGGTTATCAAGCTTGTTCACTCTAAAATAGTTACGACTGAGTAGTGAGTTCGAACCTCACAGGGTACCCCGTACTTTCGACCTTGTGCCATATCTAAACTATGCTTAGAATATCATAAAAAATGGCAAGAACAAAATTTAGAATGCAGATTTTCAAAGCAGTAGGCTAACCTTATTTGGAAGATTGTATAACATAATTTTGCCATTTCTTCTCACTTTGTCTTCTCGCATATGAGAAAGATTGGTGTTACATAATCTTCATCACTTCCCCTATTTATCTTACGCCATATTAAGCAAACCTTGATAAATACTAGCATACGTACACGTACTTAGCCGAGTTTTGTAAATATGTTAATTAAATACAATCACATGAATTCATTATACTTTGTCAGCGGCTTTTTTAAAAATATTGATAATATTCACATGGTCTGGTTTTCTTTTCGATCCCAATTGTTGCTTCAATTAAATAGTGCCTTAGTTATACAAATGCTTTCGAGAGTTATTTACGCTAGTTTTACGATTATAGTAAGTAAGTAAGAAACATATAGAGGGCGTGCACTGTCAACCACATAGCCTCCCTGTCAGCCGTACCGCCAAGAACCAAAGGAATACATTTGGGGCCGACTTGGCTTAAGGAGTTCCTGGAAGGATGTCAGTGTTGATAGACAACCGCCTGCAGGATTCTAATCCGGATTTCCTATCTGGATTTACTTCCTTTTCTGAACTTAATTTAAAAGGAATCCAACATTAAAATATACATCAATAATATTTTTTTATATTCTCTCACACTCAGTGACCCATTGCATCTTTATCACCTTACTTGACATTATGAATAAAAAAATTACATTTTCTGTAATTGTAAGTTTTACAGTGCCTGTCCTCATTTTAAGATATTACGTACATTTTACGTCAAAAACAGGGTTACGTCACGTTTGTTTACCAATTAATGACGAAAGGCGCGGTATTTCTGTATTCTGTTGGTTTCTTGTAGTCTTTAAACGACAAAACTGATGCGAAATTCAACAGGAAAGAACCAACTTACAAATGGAATCGGACATGACATGATCACATTTCTTTGTAGTTAAACAGAAAAGAGAAAAATGTGACACAAAAATGCAAAGAACATGCGTTTATAATATAATTATTTATTATAATAGATAATAGGCCTTACTCTGTCCCGTTGGCCGATGACATAGTAAGGCAATTGAATTCAGATTTGACCTTCTTCAAGTATGACTGCTCTCCCAAGACTAAGGAATCCAATCTAACCTGCTATTCATCCTAAAGCTGAGCGGTGAGGGAAGAAGTGTCATTCCCAAAGGTATTAATTTACAGTCAACGTAATAACTTGACGGGAAATGGAACTATACTATTCTTATCTCCCGAAACCCTCGACCGGGGGGGAGGGCGCTTATCGGGGGCCTGTTGTGGCCTCTGCGATTTATTTTCAGCATTATTTTAAATTATGTTACATTGTCAGTCATCAACTAATAATATACATCGCGTATCTCCATAGTCACTGCGGTGCGTACTATACAAGAACCTTCGACGAGCTTGGAGCCCTAAAAGGGCTAGTTTCAACAACATTTTTTTGCTTTTTATACTTTTCACGTTTTTCCTACCAAAGTTATATTGTCAATCATCAACTATAATAATCGATAGGGTCAGTGCTTACTACCCCCGAATCTCTCAGCCGCGAGGCGGCTTTATGCCTACTGTGGAAGGCAGGCAAAAGTCCTAATTTCAGTAGCGCTTATTTTTTTTTTAAATTGTAATTTTCTTTCTGAACAGTTCTTTTAAATCCGTTTATGCATTTATTTTAGCTATGAATTGTATTAGAGGAAACATTTTTTGAGTTTTTTGGTGCAAATGCATGACCGTATCAAGTGAAAGAGACGCTAGTAAGAGACGCTAAACCATGTAACAATGTAAATTGCGGCTTATCTCATTCGTCAAACGTTTACGGAAAAGTTCTACCCTTAGCTTACCTCTAACCCTAAAAACCCCTAATTGACTCTAATTTTTCCCTCAAACGATAGACAAAACAATAAATACATCAAGTCCTGTCATGCATTACCACAATTTTTTTTTTTTTTAATTCAGTTTGTTTGGGATGTTTGTTTTATTTGTTATGCTAGAATCTTTATAAAACTTTTTTTTCAGCTGAAATGCATCGGCGATTAATGTAAAAATGTAAATGTAAAAATTTGCGACTTTTTTCGAGTAAAATTTAGTCATGAAAATATTGGTGGTTATTACAAAAAGAATAACATTTTCTCAGATTTTTAAAAAATAATAAAACCTATTCATTATAAAAGTAAATAATATGTAAATATGTACTGACATTTTCATTTAAATTGGATAATTCCCCGATTTTTGCTAATTTAATAAAGCGTTGGCCTTCAACCCCAATTTTCCTTTGAGCGTTTGTGGCCCCCAGATTGGGAAAAGTTGTAATCGACATGTAGAGAGGGGAGCCTCGTATCAAAGTTTCAGGGAGGGGCAGATATCCTGCTACCGGCCCTGGAACTAATGTATATATATATATATATATATATATGTGTGTGTGTGTATAATCTAAATACTATTTTATATGTACGAATATTATTCTCGAATATAAAAAAAGAAATATTTTACGCTTTAAAAATGTCAAAAATATAAATTATATTGCTCAATACTAAGTAAGGCAGCAATCTAAGTTTATTTTAAAACAACACAACTCTACTCCAGTATATTTTTGCCTTTCGGCTCTTCAGGCTTCAAGTACTAGAATTAATTTGATGTATTGCGTTGTTTAAATAAATGTCAATGAAGCCATACTTCCGTAGAATACGCTTTTCCTTCGGGTAACTCAAGGATTTATTCAAAAACATTACGTGTGATAATCCACAGTTATATATTTATTTTCATTTTGTTTGTTTGTTTTTACTTTTTTTTTTTTTTTTTTTTTGTTTCTTATTCCGGAGCCCAATTAGCCAGCAAAAACTTTCTCGCTGTGGGCATTTTGCTAAGACCTCTGACCGGGCATTCATCAATTTATCAAGGCGGAAAATCTATTTCTGGTCGACTAAGCGACCATTCAAGCAGAGATACAAGATTTCTTTCACAATGGAAAGCTACACGAACACATACAATGTCCAACTACATATGGGATATTAAAAAGAAATAAAAGAAAAAACAGGGTTCATGTCCCCAGATGAAGTGAGAGATCGTGAAGTGAATGAACAGCTATAAAAAAAAATACTGACAGGTTTTACTGACTTTGCTTAGAAGAGACGCTGGCGATTGTGACGTCAAAGGAGCCGGATAAATTGCTGAATGACTGGTCAAAATAGCAATGTGCGATACTTGGCTGACTTGCTAGCTGCCAGAATGAATAAAAAAAAAATTTATAATTATGGATAATCACATAATCTGATATTTTGCATAAATGCTTGAGTTACCCGGATGAAAAGTATAATATTCACTCTAGCTTGATTGACATTGCGCAGGACGCCATTTGATTAACCCTAGCGCTCGAAACCTGAAGAGTTGATAGGAGAAAATATACTTACTTAGATTTTTTTTAATCATTTCACGCCAAGCAAGACGATAAAGCCACTGAGAAGCAAGGAGTTACTGAGTGCGAAAGAATATGAGAAAATAAAAACAGGCTATTAAGGAGAGAGAACAATAAAAGAACAAGAATTAAGACGGTAAAAGATAACGATTGACATTGCATTTAAATTTTGGAAAATCAAAGTTGAAAAGCCAGAAGAGAGTTTTACAAGCGAGAAGTGCGAGAGAAGACACTGTTAGCATAGAACTTACGGTTACATCTAGCCATTTTAACTGTAAAATGTTGAGAACTTGCCGCCAATCTAGTACTGCACTTAAATTCATAAAGTCTAGCTACCATAGAGGAAAGTTCATCCGAACAATTACCATAAAAGGATTCATAGAAAAGACACAGGGAAGCTATGTTACGGCGGTGGGAAAATTACTGATGCCAATATACCATGTCAGGACCAATAACATTGCAGATTCTTCTTTGGATTTTATCAAAAATCTCTAAATACATAGAAGAAGCACCAGACCAGATGTGACAGCAATATTCTAAGCATGGACAAATGGTATATTTATAGATACGTAAGAGACCTCTTTCTGACTTCCATCAGCATGGTTGGAAAGTGACTCGATTCACCTTCTCGGGCTAAAGTTCTCGGATGACATGAAGTGGAAAGACTATAGTGAATCCATTGCTAGGTCAGCTGCTAAGTAATTTGGTTCACTGTGTCGTGCTAGATAATTTTTCTCTCCACAATCTATCTTACATATTTATAAGTCTACCATTCGTCCATGCTTGGAATACAACTGCTACATATGGTCTGGTTCTCCTACTATCTATCTAGAGATTCTCGATAAAATCCAAAGAAGGATCGGCAAGATCATTGGTCCTGACTGGTATCTCGGCTTCAATTCCTTCCCAACCGCCGTAATGTAGCTTCCCTGTACTATTTTGTATAAATGCTTTCATTGTAATTGTTCTGATGAACTTTCTTCTATGGAACCTAGACTTTATGAATTTAAGCACTGTACTAGATTGGCAACAAGGTCTCATCAATTTACAGTTGAATTGGCTAGATATAATCGTGAGTCCTGTGTTAACAGTCTACTTTCTCACACTTCTAGCTTGTGGAACTGTCTTCCAGTTCCATGCTTTCCAGCTAACTTTGATCTTCAAAAATTTATATGCAATGTCAATCATTATCTACTGTGTTTCTGGTTACTCTTCTTTTGTTCTCACTCTTTAGTAAGATTTCAATTTGTAATTCTTCCTCACCTGGTAACGCCTTGTGCCTTTAGGGGCTTTACTTGCTTGGTGTTAATTGATTAATATATATATATATATATATATATATATATATATATATATATATATATATATATATATATATATATATATATATATATATATATATATATATATATATATATATATATATATATATATATATATATATATATATATATATATAGATAGATAGATATGCCTTTATTTAAAATACATGATACACTTGTTCAACGTAATGAAACCGTTATTCACTGTAAAGAGGCGAATATACAGTAACGTAACCATTAATGAATCGAAAACACGTTTGGAAACTATTTTTATTGCAAACTATATTTAGCCATGACTGATGTAGGTAAATAAAAAAAAGGTTTTCTTTTATTGATACTAACATAGATATCTAACAATATTGCAGCTATGGCGAAACATTTTTCATAAAATTCTCTCACGTGAGAATAAAAAACATCGACATTCATGAAAAAAATTCTTCAAAAGCCGAGTTAGCTTTTCTTGAATTGCTCTTTATTGCATGAAACTCCAGAATCAGTAAAACATTTTGCTTTCAAAGAACTGAAAGTCTCTTCTATTGATTTAACACTGGACTGTAAGGTGACAAAAATCTAATAATAAGTAATAGTACTTAGCACGACTCTTGTGTGGTGCAATTTCATATTCATATGGTACGTGGAATTAGAATAATCTACCCACGTGGACTATATAAAAAGTTCGGTTCGAAATTCCAACGTATATCGCCTGAAGAAGGCCGGGACATACAACGACCTAAGCATCGTGAATATGATAATAAAGATGAGGAAAACAGTCTATATAAATAGTGTAAATATTTATACCTCATCTCAGTTATATAGACAGAGTATTCAATGTTTTTCAATTAATTCTTTGGCTTTTCTATCTCTTTCTTCATTATTCTGACACTTTTTCTTATTTTCGGTAAAATTATTGTTAGTCGGTAAAATATTTCATAACCCTTGCAGTAATGTCCTTTCAAAAGTCATTATCTCTGAGATTTTTTTCTCCTGTTTAATCAACCGCATTATTGTAGATAAGGTTTCTTAAGTAATAAATGATCTTACTCTTTCATATGCTTTGGACTAATCGGCAAACAGTGAAGTGAATAACAACGAAAGAAACGTTTGATTTCAGGGTTTTATTATTTGAAATATTCGTCCTTACACTATTGAATAACGGTCTTATTACATTAAACAAGAGTCTATTTTATTTAGATTAAACGTATCTTTATAGTAAATAGAAGAATATTTTCAACGAATAACGTTTTTTTCATTTTGAATAAAAAGTTTTTTTAATAAATTTAAATGCAATGTCAATCGTTATCTTTTGTCTTCTTAATTCTAGTTTTTTACTGTTCTCTTCTTTTTTCATAATTTCTAACACACTGTAACTGCTTGCGTTTTAGTGGCTTTATTGCCTTGCTTGGGGTGATTTTTAAAAATATCTTTAATATGAATAAAAGTATCTTTAATTTAATTGATGTATCTGGCTTTTATTTATAAGCTAAACTTAAACCAGACGCTGTGAAGTCACTATCTTAATTCCATAATCTTCTACCTTTATGTACAGGGCGTGAGGGATCATGGCGCTCTACAGCTTCCTTTCCTTTGTAGCTCGAAGCAATGCTTCTCTCTGTAGTCCTTGTTCTGCCATCCATTTACACAAACTTGTTAGGTTGCTTACTCGCTTTTTCCTGCGCTTTTCTTACCCTCAATATGTCCTGCGGGTGTCAAATTCTCCAAGCCATCTTTCCCTATTTTATTGTAATCTTATACGTAAATGTTGGATTTTTATAACATTAAATTTAGTAATTGAATTTCATCTGAAGTGAACGTGAATTGATCTGAATAGGTGCTAAAACGTTTTCGGTACGACTAAGAAACACTTAGAAAATTATGTTTGGACATTTTTTCAATTTTCATGAAATAGATCGAGAACCTATCAACATTTCCTTATATGTGTTGTTGTTGTTTGTTTTTCTCTCATAAAACCTGATGTCATTCGTTGTAACAAGTTGACGTTATTTCTTTCTCTTTCTCTGTCTTCCCACAGACGCAGTATGGCAAAGCTGAAAACAGCTCGCAAGAGACGGCGAACACAAGATTACACAAGCACCAACAATCTTACCCAGAACTATGATCCGCCTCCCTACGAGGATGTCATCCGAACTGTCACCGACCCACCTTCATACAACATCACATCTGACGAAGCTACAGCCACTGACACTGGCGCCGGGGAGGGGGGGAAAAGTCCGATCTTTACAGGTGAAGATGACGAGAAACGAAAAATGATGCTGATGATGATGATGATGAAAAATGGACAGAGTCACGGACATTGTTGTGGGGGTGGGTGTGGCACGAAATATCGCAATGACCACATCGCCCTCACCCAACAGAAACTGACACCGGAAACAGATATTATCCAAATGGACAAAAGCTACTGCGATGCAAATCAACCGCTTAAAGTGGCTCTGCCACCGCCTAAATCGACAAAAGGCTCATTGCGTAAGAACGTTGTCAATCACGTGCACAACTGTTCGGTTACAATCGAGTCGCCGGTGTCATCATCTACCGCCACCTACAGCCACCGCATCAGTAACTATAGCAACCAAAGCAGCAGCAGCAACAGCAGTAATAATGATTTTGAGCTGCAATACAGTCGACCAGGTTGCAGTAATGAAATCCCCACCGCCTATCATGACGACATGGTTTATATTAACAATCATCACGAATTGAATGGCGACGACGAGTGTTCCGAGATGGCTGAGCATGACAGCCAACATGACATCTTGGAAGGTGCCACTTCCTGCTGTCCGGCCGTTATTCCTTCTCTTTCAGAAAATGGTATTTGTAATGACAATATTTCTCCATCATCTGTAGCTATTTGTAGCTCAGTAAATGCTGCTGCTGCTTCAGCCACACCTAACGCTGCCGTCGTTCTCAATGGTGTCGACATGGACGACGACGATGAAGAAAATTACGAGAACGATGAATATTTACCGAGCGGAAATCTCTTTTCCGAGATCAATAGTTTTCTGTATGCCGATGGAGGAAGTGAATCCTGCAGCCCGCAAGATCACGTATTAGGGACAGATTTGGTAGCTAGTGATAATGCATACCAGTGTCACAATAATTCAGTTAAATTAAGAACACAACATCCAGAAAATGGTGTGAATGGTAACAGCCATGGCAATGACAATGGGGAATGTTGTAACACGATGAGAATACCTTCAAACATAAATATGGCGACTAGACAATGTGAACTTATTTCAGCGGAACCGGAAGCCGTAAGGCTTTTGCAATGATAACAGTGTGGACGTGGATACATGAAATTATAAATTGCGTGTATATTTTCATATATACACCTATGTTGTTCTTTAACCCACGCACAATGTATTCTATGTGGGTATATACATAAAATGTGATATGTATATTGTCACTGAGATATACACGCATAGTATATAAGTATTTGTACGCAATCTTTTTACAATCGTCAAATATGGAAGAAACCGCTGCATTGGTTTTTGGTCGATTATTGATTGTTTATTGTTTTTATCCCACTGTTCGGTTGGAATGTTTCCCCGGAGTATGTGATGTCAAGATTGGCTTTGCAAAATAATACTTCATTTAACCAGTTATGATACCAGAAAGGAAAGAAAGAGCCTAGTATTAAAACTAACATTACCAAAAAATGATTTTTTTAAAAAGTAATTAATTTCCTTGACCAGAAACCCACATACTAATATTAAACAAGAATGAATTGGGAAAAGCGAGGGAGAGAATGAATGTAAAAGAGGATATAGAGAAATAAATGTAAGTGAGAATAGAGATAAAGAAAAACGATAGCTGAAAGTATATATATATATATATATATATATATATAGATAGATAGATAGATAGATAGATAGAGAAAGTGGGAAGGGAAGAAAAGAAACAAAGACATAAAGTAACAACCTTGCTGGGTGGATGCCATGGTCCAATGACCGAAGGTTAAAAAACAGGAAGAAATTGAAAGGTGTAAAAATTGCGATACATAAAATTCTTTATGGAGCGATTGAACCGAGGAAAAAAGAAAATACAATAGAAAATAGTTGTGCATTTTTCATTCCTTTTTCCCATAAAAAAAAAAACTATTCTACGTTTCTATAATATTTTGATCAAAACATGGACAGATTGGAATAGATAAAGAACAAATATAAGAAGATACAGGTATAAGGTTTGGAAAAGAGAAAAACTATGACATAATGTTAGGCATTTTTATCAATATCAGTGGTTTTCTCACAGGTCCAGTTATGCATAAATTTAGTAACCTTATGTATAATTTTTACAACAGGATTCTTTATCAATTAGTTTCTTTTCATTTCCATTATTGATTCAACATTATTCTTATTTTCTTCTTCTTCTTCTTCTTCTTCTTATTATTATTATTATTATTATTATTATTATTATTAATGGTACTTGCAACGGCCTTCTTCTAAAGAAGACGTCACATACAGAATCCATTCTTTACTTTCATCCGAGATTTTTTCGGAACCCTATTTACGGAAAAGTGTGTCGTTCCAGTGTTGGTTTACTCAGCCACACGGAAGCCCATCCACTATAAATGTAACTTCGTCTACGAGCGACAGTGACGAAGAGGACAACTTATTATGACAATTTTTAATAGTCGTAATTATTATTGTTTTAAAAAAAAGTGGGGTTAAAAACGTTATTAAAAATATTACAGGATTTATACATTTTCATGAATTCATAGAAAATGTTAAGATGACCTTTATCTTTTTTCTCTTTAATATCGCATCACGTGTAAAGGTTCCTCCATTTTATGTCTACATCTAGGTGTAGATTTTAATGTATGTATAAAATGTAATATTTGTTATTATTTATTTACGCTGCATCTATAATATATATCTCAATGCGCATACCTGAAAATAAACCTCATCTAAAATGGGAGATAACCGAACAAGGACGTAAGAAGCCAAACAAGAAATAGTCCATGAATTTGGTTTGTGAAATAAATGTGCACTTGACGAGCACAGTGTTGTGATGACGTCATTCAAATGTGCCTTTTCATATTTTTTTTTATTTTGTTTTTTTGCCCATATTTTCCAACGACGAAAAGTGGGTAGAAATGATGACAAGATTTTTAAAAAAGCGGGGACAAAAAGGTTTTTTTTTTAAAAATCCATTCTTCATCAATCAAAGTCAGTGAAAGTTCTTGTTATTTTCATGCTATACTATTATTTTGTTAATTCCATGCCCCCTCAGGGCGTAAACGATCATGGCTCTCCACAGCCTCGTTTTTTTAATGTTTGTGAATTGCCGTGACCTCCTGGGAAAAATAGTGGAGTGGTTTTCACGGTTTGAAATACCACCAGAGTAGTCCTTCTAGACTGGCTACCACCTAAGGCTAGAGATCACAGTCTACCCTGCTAGTTAATCTCTCAGGAGATGAGATAGATTAATGCAATTCCCAAGAGTATTTCTGCGAAGTTGAATGCAACAGACGAGGCGGATATTTGAACTCTGCTCACCGATTACACATTTCGCGCCAATAATCTTTATATGTTATTACCGGATTAAATGACGCCATAACGTTGCTGTTATACATATTGATGTAATAAATGATATTACTGGTTCCGTATTAACTAAGATTAAGACTGATTTTAATATCCAATATTATAAATTTAATAAGCATTTATAATAGCAAAAATGACACTAACATTATTTTTAATTTAATTTATAATATTGAACTTACTATTTTAATTAAAATAATATCTATGAGAATAACAAGAATATTAAAAGTAATATTAGTTAAATAAAATATTACTAAGTCCATCTCTCATTAATTTTCAATAAGAATGCAAACAATATTAAATATCTCTATACAAAAATGCATATATATATATTCAAAATACCCCAAAAGAAATTGAATAAACGTTGATTTTATTTGTATTCGTGCAAACAATTTAATAGACGATGATCTCTTCACAATCACGTGTTGTAATAAATATGGAAATATTCTGCGATCAACTCGGTTTTCACGAAAAAGGAACCATAATTTCTATTAATTAAAAATTCTTACTTAAAAATGTAAGAGAAGTATATGCCAAAAAAAAGTATGAAATTAAAATTATAAATTTAAAGTAAAATATTTCATAAAAGATTTGTTTTCTACCCTTGAGAAGAAAAATTGTTCTTTCTTTACATGTCTACTACTAAAACTTCCAATCAATTTCTGAACTTCACCCTCACAATCACTTTTCTCTCCACCCGAGATATGGAAATATATTTGCAGAAATTTCATTTTTTGTTCTCACAAATTGAATTGTCTTTAAGTTTATATGCAAAAACTAAATCAAGCGAGAAAATATGTCACCATTAACAGCCATTAAAAAGTCGTTTTTCTTTTTCAAAAAATAAAAGACATAACATTCTCTTCACGGAATGCCTGCTGATTAACATCGGTGCAAAAACTTATTGTGATTGTTTAATGGTAAAGGGTATTTGGTAATTATTTTTGCTTTTTTGTTGTTTTAAACTTTTCTTTTCGAAAAGTTGTCAATAATTAGTTTCTACGTGTAATTTTATCAATCAACTGAAATGAATGTGAAAAATGAAACGTCTACACATTTCACATGAAAAAGATACATATTTTTTATGATAGAATTCATTCACCCATTCCTAACTTTTTCTATCTTGTTTCGTGATACTTTTAAGAATTTGATTATCGATTTCATGAATGTCTTTGAGAAATTCTGCTAAATTTTCCTCAGATAAGGACGAGTTACTTACCCCTTACATTAACCAAAATTTTCAATTTCATTTTCAAAGAAGTTGGAATGCCTAAAAATTATGGATTGCTTCCATGTTGGAAGGTTCACTGTATAGTATTTTCCCCGATTTGTAATACAACAATCCAGAAAATATTCACTTTTTCATATTTAAAAAGTGTCTGCTGTTTCCATTTAACTGACGTTGACAAAGCTTAAACAAAAGTTTTAATCAAGAAATGTTCTTGAATGAAATAATACTATTTATTTATTAGGATTATCTTTTTTTTATTTTGCTTATTAACACTATTATAATATAAGCTTACTGGGAAGATAATTCCCCAGTGTTTATATAATGTCATTGATCAAATCAAATAGAAAAATAAACTGTATAAACCTGTATAAACATTTCTTCTACGATGTAAAAGTTACGTAAGTTCATAAACACTTTAAATCAGGGCTTAACATGGGTTCCATAAATTCCTGGGGTGTCGTCTATGAATGGGTTTCAGGGGATCCGTAAGTATCAGATAAAAATTAACAATTACATTTGATATACAGCCCTTCTCACAATCAACAGTTTCCCATTGAAAGAAATAAAAGAAAATGCATCCTACCACCGCTTGAAAGAAAATACACCTAGCCAGTATTTACAATGCTGACCGCTAGGCGTCTCTTGACTTGCTGCTTGTTCCTTTTTTACCATTTAAACGTATGTCATCATTCTCTGCACGACCGCCATCTTTTGCCACTCCATTAGAGCAAGTGATATTTTTCATTTGCCATTGTGTATCACGGCTTGATTATCTTATCATATAATGGTGGGAATTAACTGACTACAATTTCTTTCAAGCGTGGCTGGCTGAAAAGTAATGGTTGTGCAGTGTGCATGAGGGTGCAGTATTTAAGAAATGCACGTACAAGTGTTGTGAAAAACCAATCAGACTGTGAGTATCTACTTGTCTGTTTATCTGTCGATGAAGGGCTAGTTCTTTATAGGGGTCCATGACTAAAAGTGTCCGCGACCCAAGAAAAAGGTTAAAAAGCACTGTTTTAAACGATGTGTTGTGCTTCATCTAGAAAAACAGTGTGTTTTAGTTTCTTTTTGTATATTTTTGTTGTTGTTGTTGTTTGCAAACAATATTAATTGGAATTTATGAATTGGAATCATAACATTTGCCAAATGTTTCGCACGTTGATGCTTGCTTGTGATTAAAAAAAATCGAATCATTAACATGTTCATTCAAAAAATCTTTCAGTCGTTTCCCATATATTTTATTCCAATCATGACTAACATTCATGGCGGATTC